GAGAGAAATGGCGAGAAGAAAGTAGAGGAGCAGGCATGGATGTTGCGTAAAGAAATGGACATTAGGATGTTTTTTTTTTTTTTTTTTTATGATGCCAAAACGACGTCGCCTGAGGACGAAAGTGTGAACAGTACAGGGAAAACTGTCTCTTGAGAGAAATGGCGAGAAGAAAGTAGAGGAGCAGGCATGGATGTTGCGTAAAGAAATGGACATTAGGATGTTTTTTTTTTTTTTTTTTTATGATGCCAAAACGACGTCGCCTGAGGACGAAAGTGTGAACAGTACAGGGAAAACTGTCTCTTGAGAGAAATGGCGAGAAGAAAGTAGAGGAGCAGGCATGGATGTTGCGTAAAGAAATGGACATTAGGATGTTTTTTTTTTTTTTTTTTTATGATGCCAAAACGACGTCGCCTGAGGACGAAAGTGTGAACAGTACAGGGAAAACTGTCTCTTGAGAGAAATGGCGAGAAGAAAGTAGAGGAGCAGGCATGGATGTTGCGTAAAGAAATGGACATTAGGATGTTTTTTTTTTTTTTTTTTTATGATGCCAAAACGACGTCGCCTGAGGACGAAAGTGTGAACAGTACAGGGAAAACTGTCTCTTGAGAGAAATGGCGAGAAGAAAGTAGAGGAGCAGGCATGGATGTTGCGTAAAGAAATGGACATTAGGATGTTTTTTTTTTTTTTTTTTTATGATGCCAAAACGACGTCGCCTGAGGACGAAAGTGTGAACAGTACAGGGAAAACTGTCTCTTGAGAGAAATGGCGAGAAGAAAGTAGAGGAGCAGGCATGGATGTTGCGTAAAGAAATGGACATTAGGATGTTTTTTTTTTTTTTTATTATGATGCCAAAACGACGTCGCCTGAGGACGAAAGTGTGAACAGTACAGGGAAAACTGTCTCTTTTATTGTATAGGGGGATATAGGGAAATATCTCCCGCACTCTGTACTGTTATTCTTTTTCTCTCGCACATTTATCGGAACTTGGCAGTACAGATCGCCGGCGGCAAGAGAGACAAATGGGCCCACCGAAACCCGGCCGTAAAATTTCACAACAAGCCTTTGACGAAATGGTGAAGGAAAACATGGAGGATCTGGGAATGGACTCCACCGAAGCCCTACAAGACGCCATCCAAACTCTCACCCTTCAAGGCGTCGATCTCTCCGGTTAGTATTTTTCCATTTGTGTATTTCGAATTTTCAATGCTATCCTACAATTTCCACACTAATTGCACTTACGCCTCCTTTCCCCTTTTTGTAGGAATTATCACGTGCACTCCGGGAGAGAGCAATCCGGTGATGGAATGTTTGGACAAATTGAAGCAGCTGAATGAGAATTGGTCAGATCGAAATCAGGCTAAAGACGAGAATGCAGTGAATGAAATTGTGGAGTTATTGGTAGAATTGAATGATATGTGCAAGGATAAAGGATCTGGGAATGCGGCGATTGCAACAAAAAATGGTGGGATAGAATTAGTGATTTCAGTTTGTACGAAGATTCGGGCTGGGTTTGATCGGGGTTTAGTCACCGGTTTGAAGACCATTGCTTCTTTACTTCATGGTATATTGCTCATTATTTATGTAAGCAGATTGGAAATTGAGATATGAATATTAATTTTCTCATCATCTTCATTTGAATGTGTTGTATACATTTATATAAATATTGATGAAAATGATACAAATCACAAACAACAGCCTAATATAGAACTTGATGGGGCTTGGCTGCTGCTAAGTGCTAACTATTCAGTTGAGAGTTTTCAGCATTTTCTTCTGCCTTATCCTTAACAATATGTGCTGAAGAAAATGGGCACTATTTATATATTTCATCAATTCAGGTTGAAATCATTCGCGTGTATGTGTGTAGAGTTTTATAGCTGCTTGAGTTTATTACAGTTGATAATTAGAAGGGAAATAAGTCAATAACTGGCATGAAGCGAATTTAATTCTGAACTTGCAAAAACTGTAATGATCTTTCAGTAAAATACAGTTTTGAGCTGTTATTGCTCTGTAGATAACTTTTAAGGGATATACTTCGAAAAATGGAATTTGGTGTATGTAGATTTTAAAGATAATAAGCTACAATTCTTTATTTTTTGTTTCTCCACCTATACTGTGCTATATTGTAATACTTATAATTGACATGTGCCTATCAATCTTCCCATGTTTTTGGTTTAGTATGATGCCGAATATATGTTTAGTGATCGGCAGTTAGTTATGATTTCTTTCATGTGCAGATCTTCAAAGTACTGAAATATTTAGGGAGAGTGGTGGCCCAAATATTGTGGTAGATATCTTATGTGATGGAAGACAAGATGTAAGCATCTTAGATAGTGGTTTTTCAGTTGTAGCTGCGGCGTCAACTGGTAACGAGGTTATCAAAGAATCATTCATGGAATTGAAAATCGATGAGCTAATAGTCCAAACTTTGAAAGAACACAATGGGGGTAGCATTCCAAATGCATACAATGCAATATGTATCCTCTTAACATCCGATGACAATCGTGTAGTGGCCTCTCAGGTAAGTCAAAAGAATGCATGTTCTTTATGGACTTTGGTGGCACCAATTTGACATTAATCCTAATGTCTCGTAGAAATGTTATAAGTCTTCGATTCTGTTTCGATCACTACTAATTATCCTGGAAAGTGGAAGGGGGAAGACGAAATTTGTGATGCTTCTATAGAAGATGCCTATTTGGATGATATTAATGGAAGCATATTTCCATTTCTACTAATTGAATTTTTAGAATATTATTTCGATAAACAGCCCAACACTACAAGATATTTTTTGGTATAAAATAAATTTGTCCTTTCAGGTTTTTGGTTATGCTCGAAAATTTGCAAAATTAGGAATCGCGGAAGTTCTCGTGGACTCACTCCAAGAAGGGATCAATTCACTCAGCCTGGTATCAGCCAGCATCGCTTTGAAGGCTGTTGCTGTCAATGTAAGTCTATCTACATGCAACCATTCAAATGTTAACAAATTCATATTTTCATACCGTCAAAAGGACACAAGTGTCTTTCCAAGGAAAATTACTTTTACTTGTTTGTGGATATGTTCTGGCCTTCTAGCTCTATTAAACTATAGAAAGTTTGATGTCACAAATCACTCGAATACCTGAACTTAAGACACGTGTCGGTGTAACTCGTGGTGTAGATAATTTCCCTAATCCACCTTACTGGTCTGGAATAAGAGTAGTTTGGAAGGAGTGGGGAGGGTGTTGGGATGAATAATCCAAGCAAAGGTGGGATCATATTATTGGCTCTGAATCAGGCCTTTTTCTATTAAAATATTGACTTTAATAATTTAACTTAACTATTTATTACTCAAATCAGAGAGAAATAATCTGGACTTCTATGTTGATATATTGTTTCTGAAAGTTAAAAGTGAGAATCTTAAAAATTAAGGCTGAAACTCTACATTGCGTTGATTTTTGTAATAAGAAACTGATCTCTTTTAAAATAGGCAATAGAAGGATATCGTGTATGTGGTTTTCAGAATCTTCCAGCTTTAATTTTGAGTTCTCTGTTTGCAGGATGAGATTTGCAGATCAGTCGCTAATCATGGGGGTTTAGACGCTATTCTGCACTGTATTGACAATAGTGGTGTGCAGTGCAACAATACTGTGGCTATAGCTTGCTGCTCATTGTTGTCTAAGGTGCAAAGCTTAAAACAGATTTTTCCTTCTTGCTCTTTTTTGGTGGAGGCCAATTAAATGTGCATCATATGATTATCTTCTTTTCTAAAGCCTATCTTAGATAAATGCGTTATATTGTTTGGTATTCTCTTTGGCTCTTTGCTATTGTTTCGTTTTACTGAGATAATATGATCTTGAGACACCTAGACAATACGAGTTTATAAAACTATAATAGGAATTGATTTACGCCATTTTTCATTATTGACATCATGTTAGATGTCATCGCGTTGATTAATAAAATCATCCAATCCTAAGACACCTAGATAGGACCAGTTCATGAAATTTTAGTAGTTATTTTTTTTCACCGTTTTATCGTGAACTTTTGATTGCATTATTGACATTTTGTTAGTCATCCTTTAATCAAGCTTTAATGTCTTACCTTTTTCCTGATTCCCTTGGTGGTGCGTAGTTACCTTTTAAAAAAGATCAGTTCTAGGAGCACACTTTCTTTTTACCCATGTATGCTTTGTGTACTGCAAAGCTTTGTGCTTAGGAAATCTTGAAGTATTTCTAATATGATGTCCTTTATCAGTTGGCAGGAAGTGATGTGAACAAGTGTGCTATTGTTGAAAAGAAAGGCATGGATAGGCTTATCAAACTATCATCAAGATTCTCTGATGATCCTTCAGTGTTACAAGAGGTAAAGAAATGACTTGTCGGTTCTTAAAATTGAGTCATGCTTAATTTGAATTTCTTGGGGTAAGTCACCATGGAGGGATTTGTCAATTTGAAGGACACCGATGAAAAAATAGAAACATCCATAGCTGTTTATTCTGTGTGTTCACGTGTTAACCCAAAGAACAACACAAGATAAGCCCTCCCCATGGGATTCATATTGATAGCCATATGCAGATCGGCCAGACCTATTTGCAGATTTAACTACTAAAGTTTAGTTTAAACTGCAGATAGCAATATTACTGACTGATTCGTTGGCAACATTCAGTTGTAAAATGAGGTAGGGAATGTAAATTAGACTCAGCAGTTGGAGCAGCTTATCGTTGCTGAAAAAATAAGTAGGAATCAGAGTTAAATTATGGGGGTTAAAGCTGTGGACATCAATTGAAAATTGATTGCGATATGATTGTATGCAATTAGAAGTTGTAAGCAAGCTGTGCCAACAGGCGAGGTTTTGCATCTCAATGTGATGCACATTCCTATGCCAAATATAGCATGTGATTAGCAGTTTCTACACTACTTGGTGAATCGATGTGTACATTTGACTTGAGACAGGTCATGTCCACTATATCCATACTGTGTTTAAGGTCCCCAGAAAATGCTGCCTGCGCTATTGAATCTGGAGCAGGAGACCTTGCTATTCAAGCTATGCAGAGGTTCCCAGATTCAGACCAACTGCAAAGGATCTCTTGTTTCATGATTAGGAACCTTGTGGTCAGGAATCCAGAGAACAGGTTATCCTTTACATTGGCTTTCCATAAACTTCTCCTTTCAACTATTATATTGAGTCCATTTCTGAGATTATAACATGTATTAAATGAATAATGTTGTAGAACTCTTTTGCTCGGGAATGGCATTGAGGCACTCCTCAGAAAGGCAAAGGGAAGTCACAAGAGCTGCAAAAATGCTGCCACTGATGCTCTCAGAGATCTAGGACTTGATAATTACAACTTATAATACACACCAATCGATAAGGAGTCGTGCAGATGGAGCCCTCTGAACCTGATACACGACATTTTTCCGATGTCTTGTATAAGAGCTTGGTAACAAAATTACAAGTTAAAAGGGTGAAATGTTATGAAAATATTCATCATAGGATTCTGTGTTGGGATGTCAAAAAATTTTACCTTTACCTCAGCAAACACAGCCTGCAATAGGGTTGTACTATATTTTTCGTATTTTACTTATGTAATATGTACCATTATTGTCCTCCTTGATTTTCTTGCATAAAATATTACTTTTGAGACATTATAATGCTCACGATGGATATGGTTTATAATGATCTAATGTCCACGGTGGGTATGGGTTATAATGCACACCATGTGCATGACAACATCTAGTGTTGTCATGTGCATCGGATGTTGTTACATCCACCGTGGACATTATAACACGTGTCCACTGTGGGCATTAGATCAAAGCCAACTCTTGATGCGCTACTTCATAATTATGATGGCATAAAAACCACCTCTTAGAATAGGCCTCGACTTTGTTCATTTCACCCCTTATTATCAAAATGGGCATGGAAAAACAAACAAAAAAGTGATATTATAGTATTACGGCAATGGAATGAGGAATAGATACAAGCTACAGTCAAATTTCTAATGTAAACAGTACGTTTTGAACTGTACTGTTCGAAGGGTCCTCAGAAATAATGAATTGGGATGGAGGTAGATTCCGGTGGCGGGACGGCGGTGCTTGGGTGGTTTTGAGGTGGCTTAGCCTGCCGCTGCCTCAATTTCTCGACAAAAGCTGCACATTCACGTGATCAAACCAATGAGAGGGATCTGAATGTAAAATCCTCCCCGGACCACGTGTTATGATTGCCCTGCATGAAATGATTTATATTCGTCAACATTTCTTACTTTTTTTTATTGGAAAATATTTATTTTCCTTATTTCTTTGAAACGAAGAGAATAATAATTAATAAATAAAGAATTGGGATGAGAAAAAAAAGTAAGACAAATATAAATCGAAAGTGTGCTTTCACCGGTGCCACTCACTTTCTAAAAGTGAGAAATTATTGGTGGAATTTTGACACATTAAGAGCTTATCATGTGCACTTTTGATTAAAAGGTCCAAAAGAAAATTATTCTTTTTTCATTTTTTTCCATACTTTATTTACAAATGAAATAAAGGGCTTTTCAAGATTGACGCTGGGGGCACATTTGAACTTTTACCTTTATTTCTGCTTCCTCCTGTAGAAGAATTTTTTTTTGAAGTAAGTTAGCTTTTTTAGAGAAATTTATAATCGGACAATATACTTTTAAAAATTATTCAAACATATTCAAAGAAAGCAATTTCTTAAGAGGGTGTTTGGTGGGGATTAAAATTAGATTTTTAGTAGATTGTGATAGAAAATTTTGAAATATGTGGTTGAAAAGAAGTGGGACACATAAAAAATGTGGTTAATATTAATTGTTTGACTTTGACTTAGATTAAAATCAATTTTTAATCCAGCCCAAACATGCCCTAAATTTCAGAAGCAATTTTTGACTTTTCAAAAGCAAATGAGCCATGAATAACCATATCTTGAATTTAGATTTTAGAGTTGATCGAGGCCTAAGAGAATTCGCTACTTTGATCGTTTCATTTGTAAATTTACTATTTAGAACATATCGATTCATGCAACAAAGCAAATAAAATAAAATTAAATAGAATAATTCAAATTACTCCCAAAAATGAGAGAAAGTAAGCTCGTTTCAAAAATAAGTGAAAAGTATTATGAAAAAAATAGCCAAAACTCACTTCAAGACTCAGCTCTTTCATGTGGACGGTGTTCATCTTGCGAAGTCGTGTGTTGTTCCGCCACCTCTACTTGTTCTTCCGCAGCTTCTGAAGGTGTCTCTAGTGGCGGCGCCGCATCTGAGGAGCTGCTGACACGGTGCTCCGCTACCATGCGCGGCGGCGGATAAGAATTAAAGCTTCCATCAATACAAGAGGAGCATTTAATCTCAACCCACCTTTCAAAATCGTACCCTTGATAACCCATTATTCTCCGACCCGAACAAAGCCGCCCGATCATCACAGATAAAGCACACAGTATTGTTATCACTGCAAGGGCACCAATAACGGGTCCAAAGGAGCCATGACCCGAATGAGCTGTGTAGGCCGCCTGTTGAGCCATCACCGCCATTGGTGGTGGTTGCAGAGGTTCTAATACTGGTGTGTTTGAAACAGACATTTTCACTTATAAGTTGAATAAAGATGAGTAAAGTACGCAGTTCCTTGAAGTTTTGGAGCTGGGTTTACAAATATTTCTTGCGTTTTCTGCTTTTAATTGGATTGAAATTAAAGCAAATTATGAGTTAAAATGAACAGGGAAAAAAAGCAGATTTCAATAGGCAAAAAGGATCTCGAAAAAGAGTGAAAGGTTGGGTTATAAGGGCAGCTTTTTTTAAGAGAAAAAGTGTGGAAAAAAAAAAGTAGAAGTAAACCGTGTGTCTAAAGAAGTGGAGGGAAGGACTCAAGAAAGTGATAACTTTTGTCTTTAAATTTTAATCACAAAATAAGCTTTAATTTAAGAATATTTGTCCAAACGGGTGATTGTAGTGATATAAATTATAACAATCGCATGAGTAGTATAACGATTGATCATATGCTCACGACGTTGACTCCTATCCGTTTTGAATCTTTCGTGTCTTCCAAGATTTTCATCGACTCACGGTGAAAGTTGAAATTTTAACCTTGCTTTTAATATAATAATTTTGAAAATTTTACAATTAATACTTTCAAAAATGGAATATATTTAAAAAAAAAAAGACTTTGATACAAAAAGACAGATTATAATCTCTATAGATTTTCTTTCTCCTCCTTGGATAGTACAAGGATTATGTCCAAACCATGCAACAAGCCAAAGACTGTTGGAAAAATAGTTTGCTCCACTGGACAACCAACTTCCTTATTTCCAGTCGAGTCTATCGTGTCAAACACACCCTGTTTGTATCATTCTCGATTAGCAAATTCATAAAGAATCAAGGCTATACCAACTCTTGCAGTATGGCTCAAGTAGAAGTGCCCACTCTTGCAACAGAATTGTACAATTCCAAGAAATCAAGAAACAGAGTTTCACAAAGAAAAATTAAAATCGTGAATCCATCAGTGTAGTCACAAGAAATTGAAATACGACGAAAATTTTTTATTCAGTATATAAACCAGTCAAAAACAATGGGATACAATTCCAAAAATAGGTGGAATAAAGTTTGATATACCATCTCACTCCACATTTTAAACAATAAAGGGGCAAAGAATTCAAAAAGTAGTTTATACTATCAGGAAGAGAAAAATAAAAGATCCATATACCCTCACTGAGTTTAACAGGATTAGACAGGGACAATAATTGGCTTCCCTCTGCCCATAGTGAAACCCCGGGTTCCATCTGGCATTCTCGGTCCTTTTGCAGTCTGTCTCGAAGATACTTCACCCAGGAACGAGCTGCCCAGGTGAGAGGATTGAGTAGGTAGGCTGCGCGTGCTGTGAAGTTGAATCCGTTGCCTAGATTTCCCTCGACCTCTAGCCCAAGTTTGCTTCGACCCAATGGAAGTTTCTTCAATCTACAACAAAAATTAACTCTTTAAGTAATATCAGATGTTAACGGTTCATGTAGAAAAGGTTACTTGAAGCTGTCAAAATGGTGCTTTTAAGCTTAACCAAACATGCTATTATTTTTACAGTAACGGTTTACCTTACTCTAAAAACAGAAATTAGTAGTATGAATGAGATAACAAAGATAAACATATAGTTAATAAATTTAGTAAGAAACTTGGCAGTGTTAATTGTCGCACAAGGAAAACAGTTACCTCAACTGATCCCGAGGTATTTTGATGAGGGGAGTCTTCTTGTGGTTCAAGGGCAGGTCCTTCATCATCATCTAAATAGCCATCGAAATCTGCCTTCCTGTTCTTGAGCACGGACTTTGGCTGTGTGCACAGCAATCTCAACAAAAGCATAGAGAAACAGATAATCTCAAAAACGTTATTGTTTTTAGTTTAGTGATCTTACCGAACGCCTCAGCAGGCACCTCACACGCAAGCCTTTTCTCCAATTTCTTTCATCGTTTAATTTCTCGGCCTGAAGAGGTTCAATAAACGATGCAAGATCAGGAAAGCGAAAAAGAAATCTAGGAAAAGAAGACGAGAGAGTGTAACAATGTTTACTGCTCTCTCTGCTGTTTCGGTTTTCTCGTACTCTATTAGTGCATGGAGCTTCAAAAGAAAGGGAAAGAAGAAGGGTACATCAATAAGCACAAACTGAAAAATGAAAGAAAATACACAAATATGGTTAAGTTCTTCATACTTTATGACTGATGACAAAATCACTTTTAGACCGTGAAGAATTGGGCTCCTGCGGTTGGCATATTCTAATTGTTTTAACACTGAAAATAAGCAAATACATTCGATAAGTCTACAATTGTATGCCATATAACAGAAATCAAATAGGGGGATATGTTGCCACCTTCCGACCACATTAAATATTTTTTCAATGTTCTGATGCGAGTGATCGTCAGGGAGATTTTCAGCTACAACAGTGCGCAACTGCATTGACGAATCATAAAAAATGTACAATAATGAGAAAGTTTTCGATTTATTTAACAACATGAGGAAAGGCTTATATGTACCTGCAGCTCCTCTTTGTCTTTATCCGTGAAGGGATTTTTACGTTTTACCTTCTTACTATCATCGCTCACAATCTGCATAACATGGTAACGAGTGCAAAATGTTCGTCCAAAAGAAGAGATCAGAAAAGCGATGCATCTCTTTTCTTGACAAGAACGGATGCTACTAAGTACTAACCAGCTTTGAAGAGGATCGAAGAGCTTGCGCCACCAATTGATGGCTAATGTTGAGGGATTTGAGTTTCTTTGTAGATGCAACAACAGCTATTGGAACTGTGAAAATGGCAAGATTCAAGATCCAAGTCAGAAATCAGACAGGCATGCTAATCAATGATGCTGTAAGTTCAATTCTATGATGTTCCAAGATCCTCACCAAAGCCTTCGGGATCTTTATTCACTTGTTTGACCAGGGCTTCATTAGCTATCATGCTCATATCACTTAATTGGTATTCTACCTGTCACAAGCCCATCTGATGGTCAGCATTCTATGTCGGCTAATATTTCTTGCATTACTACAATAATTTCTAGTTAGGATCAAGTTTAACAGAATGAGCGATACGAGTCAAAATGCCACACCTCTATGATAGCACGTTCAAGAAAACGAAGAATAACAACGAATTGAAGCATGATGTGAATACCCTATTTGTTATTCATTGTGGTTCAAAGTATTGACATGCGTTTTTATTTTACCACGTATGGTATATAAAAATGATTAAAGGATATATTAGATGAGTCAAAAGGCCATAAATGATAGCAACATTTAAGAAAATGAAGAATAACAACAAACATAAGTTCGATAAGAATGTTAAAGGATATATATATCCCACATCGATAAATGATGTTGACACAGACCAATTAATAAAGATATTGGACTACTCCACTTAATAAGGTTGACCTTTTAAAATGGATCCTCAATTCTTATCATGATATCAGAGCTCATTATACTCCAACGAGCGATTCGATCTCGTTAAAACTCTAAAATGAGCACGTATGAGCACGTGAATTTCAAGATTAGTCTGCTCAAATGAGCCATCATCTTATGGGGGCGTGTTAAGGGATATATAGATGTTGACACAGACCAATTAATAAAGATATTGAGCTACTCCGTTTAATAAGGTTGACCTTTTAAGATGAAATCTCAATTCTTATCAAAGAATACCCTAATTTTCATTCAAACAACCAATCAAAGTATTGACACTCGTCTTAAGCGACGAACACAAGCATGATAAGAATACCCTAATTGTCAATCAATCAACCGATCAGAGTTTTGACATGCGTCTTTGTTTTACAAGTTATGATATTCAAAAACAAACAATTTTGTTGATACAAACTTTTTTCTAACCATATATCTCTTCGCCTATATATTTAAATGTTGATTCATCATTTTGATGCAAAGAATGCTCATTTTTCCATATCTCGAGTAAACTTTTGTTCCCATACAAATTCTTAATCGCCCAAAACCGCGCTAGACAAAATCATAAATTAAATAACACGTGATTAAATTTCCCGGTGTCTTTCCTATCCACTCCAATCCATCGTACCAAATATACTCATAATGAAATCTGCATGATCAATTAAGAAATAAACAACAAAGATTAAAAGAAAACCCAAAAAGGAACCTGTTTAATGATCTTTTGCCTAAGCTCATCGGGAAGTACATCCTTAGAATGATGATGAGACTGTCCTGAATGACCCTTTTCATTCGGATTCGGAGCAACCAAATGTGGGATTGTTTCTTGATCGGTAACGTAAATCCAACTCCCACCACTCCCATCAGTGTATTGAATTGACGGGTAAACATACCCGGTTATTGGAGCCTGGGTCGGGGCATGAGATCTGGGTACAAACTCCGGTGCTGCCGCATTGAATTTGAAAGTGCCACAGCTTTCACTTTCCTTCTTCTCCTCCTCCTCCTTCTCCTTGATATCAATATCATCTTTTTTTTCTGCCGGATTTACCTGCGCCATTTTTCCACAACAAAAAAATTGTAAGAAAAATTTGTTTGAAATCTGTAAATGTTATTGTTCTTTTCAGTCCCTTGTGCAGGACGAAAATTTTGTGGTTTTTTTCAGAGAGGTGGTGGGTGAATGAAAATGAATGGTGCTGGAGCGGAGAAATTCGTAGTTTTTATCCTGGATTATAGTAATTGTAAAAATGGGATTATAATGGATGGAATGAACAATCGATGGGCACAAACAAGAGTTCACTTTCTTACACACAAACCTCGCTTAGATGTTTTGACCGAATCCTATATTTATTTTGAGGTTTACAAATGTCGGTTCCATATGCATGCACATTATGGCCACCCGCAGGAAAAAAGAAAAAATGGAAAAAAGAAATTTTGATTTTCTTTTGTATATTTTTCATGGTATTTACTAAATAAGCTAATTGGATATTTGTTGACGTCAAAATTCGTACATTAATTTACTGAATCTGTTAAACAATGGGTTGATTAGCACTAGTTCGACCAATTGATTTCCTATCATAGTCGAGATGGTTCATTTTGGTAAGAATTTAATAGAATTTTTAGCAATTTTATGATAGTTGCTCGCTTAGAAGCTACAATCTCTTGATATTTGTTTTTGAAAATAATAATTAATAGGATTCATTTATTTCTTTAGCAAGTTTAACCAGCTATTAGGTGGTTATATATCAAAATAAAACCAACTCCTTACAAAAATAATTTAGAGGAAATTACACAAATCCAAGTATTTCAAGATCACATTTCAAAAATCATATTTGATAAAAAAAGCTTCAAAAATCAGGTATCAATTTAAACTTTTTAATATCTTAAAATTAAATTAACTTCATCCACCCAAACCCTAATTATTCATCACTCTTCCTTCTCTCTCTCTCATTTTCTCTCCCTTCTTTACCCGATTTTCACCTCTTCTTCTCTCTACATCTCTCCCTTCTCTCTCTTCTTCTCTCCCTTCTCTCTCTCCGAACGTCGACGATCGACGAAGGAGTTGCGTCGGCCGTCTACACTACTGCATCGAAGGCTACTGTTGCTGTTAACGACACTGCAATCACTCCGTCGCAACGCTGATATAATATTGATGTCCGTCGCGAAAGCTGCTGCTGCTGTTTGATATATTGATGTTCGTCGAGACGCTGCAATCGATCCGTCTATTCATCACGACGCTTCGCCGACAGTGGTTGTAGTGATGTTTGGGGAGTGTTTTGTGTGGTGGCGATTTTGTGGTGGTGGGTGGTGGATCTGGCAGTTGAGATCGGTTTATTGAATTTTGGTGGTGGAAGTGGTGGTTTTGTAGTTGAAAATGGTGGTTTGTTGGTGGTGGTAAATTAGTGGCGATTTGTTTGAGATGGAGATTCCGGTCACTAGTTGTCGTGAGGCGGTGGAGTTTCTGGCGACGTTGGTGTTGGCGCAATGGTGGTGGTTCTGGCTACGCCGACAGTGCACTAAAGATTTGGGTGGTGGTGGTGGTATTTTGTGTGGTGGCGATTTTGTGGTGATGGCTATGGTGGTGTATAGTGGGTGGTGTGTGGTGTTGTTTTGGCGATGGTGGCAGTGGTGACTAGTGGTATCTGTGGTTGTGTTGCTGGTGCAGTGCAGTGCTGCGTGGCGTGGCGTGGCATGGCGTGGCAATAGCGGTGTTGCAAAAATGGTGGCGATGGTAGCGATGGTATGGTACTGGTAGTGGTTGTGATATTTTTGTTGGCAGTGGTGTTGTTGGGGGGGTTGGTTGACCTATGACCAAGTATTTGTGGTGGATCGAGATCGAGGGTGGAGTATTTGGTGCATGTGACCAATTATTTGGTTTACTGTGACTAACTATTAAAATGTGACCTTAAAATTCGAAAATTTGTAACTAAAAAATAATTTGTGACCAACAAATTTGAAAATGTGTGACCGATGGATAAATTGTGACCTATAATTTTTTGATCTATGACCAATGAAATAAACTGTGGCGTATAAAATTTTTGATTTGTAACCTTGAAATAATTTGTGACCAATTAATTTGATAACATACGACCAGTAAATAAATTGTGACTCATAAGTATGCATCTGTGACCATGAATTGTATAATTTTTATTTTAATATATTTAATTAATTAAATAAATACCTGATTTTTGCAATTGTAAAAGTTAATACCTGATTTGTAAATTCTTCCCAATAATTAAACTTGAATAAGCCATTTAATATGGGCTGGGCTAAACTGAAAACGGTGGGAACTTTGGTATATAAGCCCATGTTAATTCGCAAGGTCTGGGGACTTATGGCTCGGTCCAATTAGTGGTTAGTTTGGTCAATATGGAAATTACATCATTCCCTACTTTTCAAGATCTATATTCTAAAATCAGATCTGAAATTTTAATTTTCAAATATTAGATATTTTTAATTAGATACATTATAATTATTATCAAATAAATATATTATTAAATTTAATTAATTTAGAAATCAACCCTACCTCCCTCCACCCACCTCATTTCCCCTAAATCCGTTCTCTCTCTGGTCTCTACCTCTTCTCTCTCTCGTTGCCGTCACAACAATTGAAGCGGCGGTGTGGTGGCTGAAAATGGTGATCGCGGTGATGGTGGCGTCGATCTGAAGCAGCAGCCGCCACAACCATAGCCGCAACTGTTCTTTCCTCTGTGTTTACACCCCATCCCACCCCACCCCACCCCACCCCACCCCAATTTTAAAACCCCAATTTCTCGTTCTTTTTTCTGTGTTTATGAAGCTAATCCATTTTTGTGCTCACCTTTACATACCGATTTTATGTGTGACAATACGGTTTTGGAGATGATAGTAGTTTTGGTGGTGACAGATCTGGCGGGTGTTGGTGGTGGAGGTGGTGCCGGCTTTTTGGGTTTTCTTTTTTTTGTTTTTGTTTGATTGTTTCAAATTGGAGATCGTGTTGATGGTGTGACAATAAGGTGGCGGTTGGGTGCTGGTGGTTGTGAAGTTGGCTGCGGGTGGTGGTGGTTGGTGGTGCTTTGTGCGGTGGTGATTCTGTGGTTGTAACTGTGGTGGCGGGTCTGGAGGGATCTGGTGGTTTTGGAAATGGCGATGTTACTACTGATTGTCGTGGTACTGAGCTGCTGGGGTTTGTTTGAGATGGAGATTGCGGTGTTCTCGTATGGTGGGGGTGGTGCTAACGACGGTTGTGTTGGCGGCGTTGGTGGTGGTGATGTTGGTCGTGGTGGTTGTCATGGAGGCGGTGGTAGTGCTCGTGGCGATAGTGCAGAGGTGGTGGTGGTGTATATGGTCATTTTGGTTTTCTGTGACTAAAAATATAATCCGTGACCTTAAAATTCGATATCCTGTGACTAAAAATATAATCTGTGACCAACCATTTCGTTATCTGTGACCTAAAAATTATATAATCTGCGATTGTGAAAAAATTTTGTGGCCAAATAATTTGGAAATCTGTGTTCGTATAACCTTCTGTGACTAAAAATATAATCTGTGACCTTAAATTTCGATAATCTGTGACTAAAAATATAATCTGTGACCAACCATTTTGTTATTTGTGACCTAAAAATTATATAATCTGTGACCGTGAAAAAATCTGTGACCAATTAATTTAGAAATCTGTGACCGTGTGACCTATAAAAATGTTGTGACAAAAAATCAATATTAACAGGTAACATGTATTTGTAGAGTCACTGTAACGACCCGAGTCCCACTTAATGAGCTGTCCCAATCGTTAGATCGACGACGTACTGTCCTCACTGTACCAACATGAGTCTTTTCAGCATGCTTTGTCCTCATTCGCACGCTCCCCGAGAAAACTTCTCAGGGGTCACCTATCATAGAATTGCTCCAGGCCAAATACGCTTAACTGTGGAGTTTCTAACGATAGACTTCTGGAAAAGAAGGTGCACCTTATTGGTATGAGTACTACCTATCAAATCTTTTTAAACTTTCTTGGTATGGGTATTACAATCACCCCCCGTTAGATTCGCAACGTCCTCGTCGTGCTTGATCCATAGCTTGATCCATTTGAGGATCTGTTGCCAGGCGATAGGATTCTAGAGGTGGCTCCTACGGGTTCAAGAGGTGGCTCCGGCCTTATGGCGTAGCACTTTGTCCCGCATAGCACTTAGTTCCAGATTTTCGGCTAGCAACCGGGCTTTGATACCATTTGTAACGACCCGGGTCCCACTTAACGGGCTGTCCCGATTGTTAAATCGACGACGTACTGTCCCCACTGTACCAACATGGGTCTTTTCAGCATGCTTTGTCCTCACTCGCAGGCTCCCCGAGAAAACTTTCCAGTGTGTCACTCATCATAGAATTGCTCCAAGCCAAGTACGCTTAACTGTGGAGTTTTTAACGATGGACTTGCGGAAAGGAAGGTGCACCTTATTGATATGAGTAGTATTTATCAAATCTTTTAAAACTTTCCTGGTATGGGTATTACAGTCACGGTTCAAAAATACAGGCCACATTTACCGGAATAGTAGTCGAAATGATCATCGGCATAGTCGCCAGAATCGGGAGAAGTTGTCGGAACGGTCACCGGAGTAGTCGTCGGAATCGAAGTAGTCACCGAAACGGTCGCCAGAGAGGTAGGGGTTAGTAATGTCAAAACGGACGGGTCGGTCCGGCTCGCAGACTGAAAAGCCCGGGCACAGCCCGCCGAACAAAAAATCGGCCCATGCGGGCTTTCCGAGCCGGGCCGACCCGGACCGGGATAAAAAAATCATAACCCGGCCCGGACGGAAGCCCGCATGGGCCGGTTTTTTGTTTGGGCGGTTCGGCCCGCTCGATTTTTTTTTCAAAAATAAATGGTAAAAATTACATTTTATAATTATAGTAAAAATCGATAAAAGTTACATAAAAATAAATTTTATATTGATTTATTTTTGATAAATTTTACATCAATAACATAAAAACTTACAATTTTTCGAACAATATTTTGCCTAACTTGACAAATTAAATAGTTTTTAACTATTTATAAACTTATAGTTAAAGTACATCTCAACTAGATTGTCA